TGCAGACAACGAAAACATGTCGCAAAGAATAGCCTGCAAAAATTGTAGGTTGTACAATTTTTATTTTATTTAACCACTGCCAAAATAAAATATGTATATAATATCTTCAAATCATGCTATCAATATTACCCCAAATTTCCCTAAAATGTAAATGCCTTTCCCTTTATTTGTTTACGAATTGAACTTGTATTCATATTCTGAGGCCTTATTTGGAACACCATAACTGTGCATTATGTTCTATTTTACCATGGCTTGCATAAATTAAAAGTCTCCCAACCAATCACATTGATGGCAGTTATACACTGGTATAATATAATTAATAGTAATGTTTATGTATGACAATTTTTGTGTAAATATAGAAATTAAATTTTTATTTACGTTTGCCTACTGAGTCTATGCATATATCTGTGTCTGTATGTCCCCCTGGTTGATTGTGCAGTATTGCAGATAGTATTAATTATGGTATTTCTAGGCCACTATGCCTCTAGGATATTGAAATAAAAATGCAGTAAACACTGATCTACTCTTTTAAAAGATAACTTTGTGAAAATGGGAAGTGCCATTTTGTTGTGAATCATTAAAAGCTATTTTCAGCCCAATCCTTCCAGACAACTTAAATGTGTATGTCTTAACAGAAGGATGGGAGGGAGAGAAAAAAATGGTCACCATCTCTTGATTCCAAAATGGAGCTCAAATTTTGTACAAATTCCCATCACCGTGGAATTAAGTATTGCCACACCCAATTTTTTTTTCACATCTTGAACAATGGGGCAATTTTCCGTTGCTATCACTTCATGGTACTGAGATAAAATGATTTTTTGTTTGGCATATTTCTTAACATATCTGTATTGGATTCACTAGTTCTGCCAAATTGTACCCAGTTTTGTGCAAAATTTATTAGGCATGATTTTATGAGAAAAAAAATAGTAAAATCAATTTCTGTGGAAATGAGTTCCCCTAATATCTATATATATATATTTTTGTTTTCACATATAAAATTCTCTCTACAATTAAAGCCAATGTTCAGCATGGTAAATAAGAGTGGCTTAGCCATCTTAAAATCACCTTTCATCCACCTTCATAAACTTCTACAATTTATAACACACATAATGGCAAAGTACATAATTTCATTCATGATTGTGATTAAGTACTTCAATGCAATGTGTTATAGATCGGGTGTATTTTAGGTTTCTGCAGCTATAAAATGGTGTTACAGTTTGGACGAATCAGTTGAGCATTTTCGGGTTTGTGCACTATTCAATAGTTCAGTAGTGAATGACTTGTTTGTTTGTTAATGGTATTGTAATGTTGGATATTGCTATTCAGCTTGCTTCGCCATCCAACTTCCATTCAGTGTCCCTTAAGGTCTCATGCCACTAATCAACCAATGGCTGCTCGTAGCCCAATTTAAATGTCTTGCAAGAACCAATGAATTTTTTTAAATATTTGTTTTTCTTAGGTGCTCCCTGTTTCAGGGCGTAATCACCTGGGTCAAGGGTGAGACCAACATGTGGTCTTTTGTTTACTACTTAGCGGCTGTGTACCTGTGGGTATATTCTGTGTGTATTTGGATGTTCTAATCTTGGTGTTTTTCCAGTGATTTCTCTTGGTGCAATCCAAATACAAAATGTACAGTAGATTTGTCTTGTTTACCTGAGATTTGCAAGAATTTGAGCCAACATGTTAGTTTTTTTCATATGGTTGATTACTGGCATGTTGATTTCCCATTTTTGAGCCATGTTTTCAACTTTCTTCATCATTTTTATATCATTTTTATATAGCAATCTCGTCATATGTTAACATTGTCGTCTATGGAAATTCAATTAGTGGTATGAGCCCATAAGTCTTGTTTCATAATTACCACTAGAGGGCGTTATTTTTTGAAGAAAAATAGTGTTCATGAAATTGTTTGATTTTTGATGTGTAATGTGTATGGTGATACTACTTTGGATACATTTTAATTACAGAAGCTGTTCGACCAAAAATGTTCGTTAGTGGGAGGGGAACACATAATTTTATGCAGTGGGGAAAGGGTAGGCAGAAAATGGAAAGGGCAGGCAGAGTTTCAATTCCACAATGGGAGGGCACTTTCTGAAAGGAGTAGAGGGAGGGCACAACCCGAACAGCTTTGGGGTACCCTAATTTTCGTGAATGACATTTAAAATCGATAGGAACAACTACATGAGCTTTTCCTAATAATTTGAATGGAAATTTGTAAAATCGTTCGTTGGCTGCTTCTGTTGCTATGAACTCAACGACTGTTATATTACTGATGCAGCATGAAGGTTTGAACTCATTTAATTCAAGTAAAAAACAAGTCTGGTTTACAACGAGTGAGACTGACCGTAATGGCTGCCGCCAACAACAACCTGGGTCATAGGTCATAACAGATATAGTACTCTCTGTCAAGAGAGGGTGCACTACTACAGTTACTATACATATGTGATATTATAACATCCCCCTCCTCAAGCTAAATAGTGGTATTCTGCGAAGTGTTTATAGAAAATAAATGTTCAAATACCGGTTCAGAGTTCTGGGATGGAAATGTATATAGTCGTGTATTGATACAGATAATAAGTTTCTATTTGGAACAGTTTTGTTTGTTTTCTCAATAAACATACATCTAAATATTAAATCAACTTAAAACTCTGGAACTCGATAAACACAATAGAAATTGAATAACATAGCTCTCATTTGAGCTTTTCAAATTCGACAGTTTATGTCAATACAAAATCCTTATATTTTGCAGGAGGTTTGCAATGTCTCTGTGGTCTTTCTTTGGCAGGCGAGTTAATTTTGTTGGATGCATTTTTTATTCCTTGTGGTTCCTGGTTCAACTTGCTTGCAGTATCGTTGGTTTGCATATCCATAGTTGGCCTATCATGTGCTGGTTTGATGTGAGATAAATCGCGTTGGTATTGAGCGCTGTCAGGCGTCTGCACTGTGTATTTTCTGTCAGATAATTTGTTAATGACTATGGCAGGTTGCCATGGTGAACCTGGTGTTTTCTGGAATCTACATGGAGAATTTGATTTGAGTGGTGTAATGTCCGTTTGACTTCCATAAGATTTTGCTCTCTGTTCAATCTTCTTCTTATAACTATTTGTAGACTGATCACGTCCATACTGTAGAAATGGGAGATTGGTCTTGACCTTTCTATTGGGAAACATTAACGCAAATGGAGATGAAATATCAGCTGTAATGGGAGTGTCTCTCAATGTTGTCAGGATTTCCCTCAGGTTTTTCTCCCTTTTCTGAAGAGACTTTTTGAGCATAATTTTGACTGTGTATATATTTCTTTCTGCGCGTCCATTGGCTTGTTGGTGATGGGGTGCACTTGTTGTATGTCTTATCTCATGAGTCTGGCAATATTCTTGAAATTCACTGCTTGTAAACTGTGGCCCATTGTCCGATATTAAGTCTGTTGGGTATCCAAAATTGGAGAATATTTCATCAATCTTGCTGATGACAGTTGAACTAGTCATGTTATGTAACTTATATGCCCAAATATAACCAGCATAGTAATCAATGATTAAAAGGTATTGGGAGCCTTCAAACTCGAATATGTCGATACCAATCGTGTTCATAGGTTCAGTACTGTAGATAGGTTGTACTGGGAGTTTTGACTGACTTCTCTGATAGGTTTGACATTGGTTACAATCTTTTATCATGTATTCTATGTCTGCATTCAGACCAGGCCAATATACTGATTGTCTGGCTCTGAGACGTGTTTTCTCTATGCCTTGGTGTTGTTTGTGGAGTATTTGGAGTACTCTGTCTCGCATTCCCGTTGGGATAATGATTCGATGACCTTTTAGTACTACACCATTGTGGATGGCTAACTCGGAGCGATGCTGCCAATATGCATGGGTAATTTCATTGCATTTGTTTTTTTTCTTTAGGCCATCCATTTGTGATGTATGGGATTAAGGCTTGGAGAACTGGATCTTTGACAGTGAGTTCGCGGATGCGGTCAATGACAAATGGCTTCATTGTTGAGACTTCGTGTATATGTACGTCAACATCAGGTATTTGGAAGGTTGTTTGTTTGGTGTTTATGCATCTTGATAGACAGTCAGCGTGGGGTACATCTTTCCCTGGTACATATTTTATGTTGTAATTATATCCTTGAATCTGTAGGATTAGTCTCTGTAGTCTGGCTGGCATCTTGTTGATCTGTTTCTTTGCTATTGATTCTAGAGGTTGGTGGTCAGAATGGATGGTAAAGGGTCTACCAAAAACATAGTGTTTGAAATACCTTGTTGCCCAAACAACAGCTAGCATTTCACGTTCTATGTTACTATAGTTGGCTTCTGCCGGGGTTAGGGCTTTTGAAGCAAAGTGGATAGGTTTATCATCTTGCAGCAAAACAGCCCCGAGACCTTTACTGGATGCGTCACACTGGATCACAATATCTTTACTAGCATCGAAGTATGTCAATACTGGTGCTTTTGTTATGGCTTGCTTTATCTGGTCAAGTGCTTTATCGTGACTTGCAGACCATTCAAACACTACACCTTTCTGCAGTAATTTTCTAAGCGGCTCAGTAAGTGGACTTAACTTTACAAACTTAGATAAATAATTGACAAGCCCGAGGAGTGACTGTAATTCTTGCTTATTTTTTGGTGCTTCCATCCTCTGGATAGCTTTCACCTTGGATGGGTCAGGCGATACACCATCCTTACTCAGAATATGTCCGAACAGTTTTACCTTATCTTGGTGGAACTGACATTTCTCATCATTCAGCTTTACATTGTATTGTCTACAGGCCTTTAGCACATCTTGCACTGCTTTGTCATGCTGTGTGCTAGTTTCAGCTGCAATCAGTATGTCATCTTTAAGACAGTGTACATTATCTATTTGTCCAAAGATTCTATCAAGGTCGACTTGAAACACATCTTGTGCGGATATCAGACAGAAAGGCAATCTTGTGAAACAGTATCTTCCAAAGATTGTACTAAATGTTGTTAGCAGTTGTGACTCTGTGTCAAGTGGTATATTCCAATATCCACTGCGTAGATCCAATGTTGAGAAATGTTGTGTGTTCTTTAGGTCTGGCAGGATATCATCAAGTGTTTTGGCATAATAGTGTGGTCTTTTGATGAACTTATTTAGCTCACGGGGATCCAAGCAGATGCGTAGTGATCCGTTAGGCTTGGTGACCAACACAATGCTGTTCACCCAGTCAGTGGGTTCTTGCACTTCCCTGATGATTCCAAGCTGTATTAGGCGTTCCAGTTCCTGTTTTAAGGGTATTTTCAAAGCATCTGGTGTTCTTCTTGCTGGATTTATCACAGGTGTTGCGTCATCAGACAGCTCAATTTTGTAGTCAGTGTTTATCTTGCCAACACCTTCAAATACATCTGGATTGTCCTTTACTAACTGCTCTTTGGTGCTGTAGGCTATAGTTTCCTCCACGTCATATTCTGTACAGCATTTGCGTCCCTCACAAGGAAATTTGACAAGTTCTAGGCATGTGCATAATCTTAAACCAAATAGGTTGTTTCCATGCTCTGATATGAAAAATTCTACATCTCTTTCCTGTTTGCCTTTGTGTTCAACAACAGGAATTGTAACTTTCCCACAACTCTTGAAAGGTGTATCTCCATACCCGCTGAGACGTACTTCTGAAGTGTTTGGCTTATGGTCTATACCAAACAGTGTTCTGTATGTTGTATAATTCAAAAGGTTTGCTTGAGCTCCGGTGTCAATCTTTGCTTTGAGGAGTTTCTGTCCCTGTGTTGTGCTAATTTTGATCACTGCGAATTTGTCTTTCATTCCTCTTGTGCATTCATCAAACCCATAATTCTCAGCACTGTCAGACTCATAATCTGTCCTCACCTCATGTGTTTTCTTTTCACATTTCTTATTTGTTTCTCCACTTTTGGCTGAAGACTGACACTTTCTTGCCCAATGGTTACGCTTTCCACATTTTTTGCATATTTGGCCAAAAGCTGGACACTTTCTCGGCTGATGGGTTAAACCACAATTTCTGCATTCCTTGTTTGTTCGCTTTGCTGACTTTACAACCTCAACTGTTTTAGATGTGGTTGGTTGTTCCATAGACTTTAGTGCAGATAAGTGAGCATTGGCAGCTTCATAATTCCTTCCAAGGGCAATTGCTTCATCCAATGTATATGTCTTAGGCTTTGCTAGTAGCTCTTTCTGGAATTCTGGTATTGGTGTAGCAGCAATAATTAATTCAATTATTCGCTCCTGGAGCTCCTTCTGTTCAAAGTCACACTTATTAGCTAGCAGTTTACATTTGCTAACAAACGAATCAAGAGATTCATCAGGTTTTTGTCTCAATGTGGTTAATTTGAGTCGACTAATTCTGAAATTCTCGGCTGGTTCAATTGACTCTTGAAATTTCTTGTATATTACCTCTGGTTTTGACTTGTCGTCATTTGACAGGTCCCAACTATTGAATTTACGTAATCCTTCTTCCCCTGTTGCCAGCAAGATATTAGCAGCCTTTTCTTCGTCTTTCACATTTTTTCACGACGAAATAAAGCTCTATACGCTGTTTGAATAAACTGAATGACTCTGTTAGGTTATCAGATTCCCAGTTCATGGTAGGGAGTTTATCAGCCATTTTTGTTTTGTCTGGATCAGACTTGCAAATGTTCGTGAGTCAGAAGTCAACTTACGCCAATTTTCAGCTACTTGGGTATCACTTTTCTTCTAACTTGAACGTCCTGGTCACCATGTTATATTACTGATGCAGCATGAAGGTTTGAACTCATTTAATTCAAGTAAAAACAAGTCTGGTTTACAACGAGTGAGACTGACCGTAATGGCTGCCGCCAACAACAACCTGGGTCATAGGTCATAACAGATATAGTACTCTCTGTCAAGAGAGGGCGCACTACTACAGTTACTATACATATGTGATATTATAACATCCCCCTCCTCAAGCTAAATAGTGGTATTCTGCGAAGTGTTTATAGAAAATAAATGTTCAAATACCGGTTCAGAGTCCTGGGATGGAAATGTTTATAGTCGTGTATCGATACAGATAATAAGTTTCTATTTGGAACAGTTTTGTTTGTTTTCTCAATAAACATACATGGAACATCTAAATATTAAATCAACTTAAAACTCTGGAACTCGATAAACACAATAGAAATTGAATAACATAGCTCTCATTTGAGCTTTTCAAATTCGACAGTTTATGTCAATACAAAATCCTTATATTTTGCAGGAGGTTTGCAATGTCTCTGGTCTTTCTTTGGCAGGCGAGTTAATTTTGTTGGATGTGTTTTTTATTCCTTGTGGTTCCTGGTTCAACTTGCTTGCAGTATCGTTGGTTTGCATATCCATAGTTGGCCTATCATGTGCTGGTTTGATGTGAGATAAATCGCGTTGGTATTGAGCGCTGTCAGGCGTCTGCACTGTGTATTTTCTGTCAGATAATTTGTTAATGACTATGGCAGGTTGCCATGGTGAACCTGGTGTTTTCTGGAATCTACATAGAGAATTTGTTTTGAGTGGTGTAATGTCCGTTTGACTTCCATAAGATTTTGCTCTCTGTTCAATCTTCTCTTTATAACTATTTGTAGACTGATCACGTCCATACTGTAGAAATGGGAGATTGGTCTTGACCTTTCTATTGGGAAACATTAACGCAAATGGAGATGGAATATCAGCTGTAATGGGAGTGTCTCTCAATGTTGTCAGGATTTCCCTCAGGTTTTTTTCCCTTTTCTGAAGAGACTTTTTGAGCATAATTTTGACTATGTATATATTTCTTTCTGCACGTCCATTGGCTTGTTGGTGATGGGGTGCACTGGTTGTATGTCTTATCTCATGAGTCTGGCAATATTCTTGAAATTCACTGCTTGTAAACTGTGGCCCATTGTCCGATATTAAGTCTGTTGGGTATCCAAAATTGGAGAATATTTCATCAATCTTGCTGATGACAGTTGAACTAGTCATGTTATGTAACTTATATGCCCAAATATAACCAGCATAGTAATCAACGATTAAAAGGTATTGGGAGCCTTCAAACTCGAATATGTCGATACCAATCGTGTTCATAGGTTCAGTACTGTAGATAGGTTGTACTGGGAGTTTTGACTGATTTCTCTGATAGGTTTGACATTGGTTACAATCTTTTATCATGTATTCTATGTCTGCATTTAGACCAGGCCAATATACTGATTGTCTGGCTCTGAGACGTGTTTTCTCTATGCCTTGGTGTTGTTTGTGGAGTATTTGGAGTACTCTGTCTCGCATTCCCGTTGGGATAATGATTCGATGACCTTTTAGTACTACACCATTGTGGATAGCTAACTCGGAGCGATGCTGCCAATATGCATGAGTAATTTCATTGCATTGGTTTTTCTCTTTAGGCCATCCATTTGTGATGTATGGGATTAAGGCTTGGAGAACTGGATCTTTGACAGTGAGTTCGCGGATGCGGTCAATGACAAATGGCTTCATTGTTGAGACTTCGTGTATATGTACATCAACATCAGGTATTTGGAAGGTTGTTTGTTTGGTGTTTATGCATCTTGATAGACAGTCAGCGAGGAGTACATCTTTCCCTGGTACATATTTTATGTTGTAATTATATCCTTGAATCTGTAGGATTAGTCTCTGTAGTCTGGCTGGCATCTTGTTGATCTGTTTCTTTGCTATCGATTCTAGAGGTTGGTGGTCAGAATGGATGGTAAAGGGTCTACCAAAAACATAGTGTTTGAAATACCTTGTTGCCCAAACAACAGCTAGCATTTCACGTTCTATGTTACTATAGTTGGCTTCTGCCGGGGTTAGGGCTTTC